GCTTAAGTCCCTGGGCGAGGTCGAAACTGAAGTCAACCCTAGTCTGCATGAGAATACCATTGGGAAAAGCAAAGCTATGATAAATTCACTGGAAGCGTAAGGTTGACTACTAAAATTGTGTGAAAATTCGTCACCTTAAACGGAATAGAGTGATCGAAGGTATGAAGACCAAAATAGTGTGTGTGAAGGGTGAATTCACTTCATATATGACACGAGGATATTCTTCGAGATCAAGTTTTTCTTAAGTGAATACTTTCTGGAGCGGTTGTTCCAAGTTTGAACTCCACCTTTGCCTTAGATCAAAGTTACAGTTCATTAGGTTATCCCATGTGACACCAATGCAAGGAGCCTGCAAAAGGTTCTACTGTCTGAAAGACATATTAACAGTATTTGAAGTTTATAGCTAGTTTTTATGAAGAATTAGTTTTCCCGATTTTCGCTATGTTTTATTCCAACAGTTGGCTGGTATTCTTACATCTCATAAAGCTGTATCCCCTTTACTTATTTGTAATAAGTTGGGAAATGTACCAGTAGAAGTGGGAGGTGATATGCCCATCCATCCGAAATAATAGGTCGAAGAGATAAACCTTACTTAGCACTTTGCTGAGTTGTGCCCTTTGGTAATGCCGACTGCAATACCTGCGAAACATCTGAAAGTGTATCAGGTCAATACTCAGATGATAGGAGGAGGCATGACGACAATGAGAGAACCATTTTTAGAATTCATTCTTGGGTTCTTTATGTTTTAAAAAATGAGATTGCATTAACATCATACAAATATTGGAAACTGCGGACAAACCTAAAGCCAAACCAGATACATCCAAATTTCTGAATTTTGAAACTTACTCGATACGAATATAAGTACTTTAGTCGATTGTAAATGAACATACAATTTTATTTCATTGCTAATCCGGCGGTATAGAATATAATTTGTGGAGAGGTCAGGCTAGCCTTGAAATTTACTTCTGCTTTATAACCCTCCGGCACTCGTGGATATGTGGCATAGCTTCAACATGCCGAAATTATGCTCTGTATTACCCGGATTTGAGATCGAAACTGCAGTTCATCTTGGAGCAGGATACCTCTCGGAAAAAAAGGCCAAATGAAATTTAATGTTAGGATTATTTAAATGATTATGGAAGAATTCAATTATCATTCCCTCATCAGCTGATGCGACTAAGGGGGACACAGCTCTTAAAGTCCCGAGTGTCGAGCATCTGAATTTATCCATTTGCTTTGCACATTTTAAAAGCATTTTTGGTTTTTGTCATCATCTTATTTTCTGCAACTTGGCAGAGTAAAGACCATCCTTGACAAACAACGCTACTGCAACAACCAGAGTTTACCGAAGACGTATACCACCTGTTGCCGGATATCACATGAAACTGATATTTGAAATGACCCCTGTTGGACTGGAGACTGAGTGATGTAGGCTTGTGCACCTTTCTTCTGTCTCGTCTTTTGATACCATTATGAGCCCTTTCTGTTTTCATGCTTATACTTACTTCTACCTTCATCTGGTGCCAAAAAGACTGTTGCTCAGGGTTGCATCGTCATATGAGGTTATTTACTTTTGCCGGCATTGACGACAACCTGAACCGTACAATTGAAACTCCTTTTTTGATACGAATCATTGGCTAGGCAACTCGACAAGCAGTCGTCGCTAAGTGGCAATTAATTCACCCTGGTATTATTGCGTGCCTGATAATTTACTGGCCTAGAAAAGAATTGGACCATTTCTGTCCAAGGACACGTCCTAAATTATGTTTAGTCATATCATAGGCTCTGATTTATAGCCCTATTCCCTTGCGCATTCACTGATCTAAAGGCCTAGATTTTGTTGGCACGAGTAAATTTGCTCGTTATGAATTAAACTGCCCAAACAGCAGAATTTGTTTTTGGTAAAATTAAACTGTTCAATAATATCCTATATTTTTACGATTTCCTATCACTTATAATCAACGCACCTATTTTAATAATTTTGTCTTTAAACAAAATTTAAGGCATTCTGATTCGTATGTACATTTAGTCGTAACTTAATCATTTGAATGAGACACACACTAATCTGTAAAAAATGGTTTCTGCCTAGTTTACTTAACCCAATATTTTTCGGAAAACGTAGGAATCATTCTTTGAAGCTATGACAATTATTGGTGACACAAAAAATTCACGGATCGCTTCAAAGTTTACTCTGAACTTCCAAATACTCATAGTGTATCTTTGAGACAGCCGGAATTTGATTGTCTAACCTTTTGCAGTTTCTTGATTCTTGCGCTACATGGTTGGTGACACAGTGAACTGTATCTCTGATCTAAAGCGAAGGTGGGATGCTAACTTGTTACAACCGCTTCAGAAAATATTCACTTATCTCTTGAAGCCTCTTCATATATTCTCTTCTATTTTTGAATCAAAATTCACCACTAACCCTTAACGGGCATACTGTCGCTTGTTTTTTTGTATTAATCCAACTTTTTATGCATTCCATTCGATATATATTTTTTTTCGACCTCGTATTTATACATTTTTCCATCTCACTCTTATTATGTGGTTTCTTTCCCTTTTTTATCTGTTCTTGTTCTACAAGAATTAAGTTATTCCATGATCATGCAAACCCAGTTTATCTACATATTCCATGATCAGCCGAAATGTCGACGAATACTATTTTTTGGCATAAACTACGATAGCCACACTTTGCTCAACCGATAGTTCAAGTAGAGGCCGATTCAGATTGGCATTGTGAGGACTATTTCCGCAAAGCCCAACAAAACTAGCAAGTTGATCTTAGCTATCGGCGTGCTGACATTCAGCCCCTTGGAAATCGTTTTCCTGAAACCCACATGTTTACAGGTTTTTAGACAAAGGTGTAAACCTGACTCGTTAAAAGTGTAATGACTTTAAAAACACTATTTTATGAAAAATTGTAAATCCTTAATCAGGCTCGTGTTGCATAGCAGACCAGACAAATCTGTACATCTATTGTAAATGTTTATTTCCAGTACTCTACTTTTATTCCCAAATCCAAATTCACAGTATTAGTTGTTGATACTTTTCATTATTTAGCAGACATAAAGTTATCTAACCAAAATAATAGGCTGCATTAGTAAACGCAACATTATTGGATCTCTACTTTTTCCTGCACAGTTCCTGTATTTATATAAATTATCACAGCGTAAAATGGAGAAAAGGGAGGAGTTCTAAAGGGACTGAAAATGCTGGAAGAAAGGCGATTCGGATATGAAACTGTGTTATCCCTCCTGTTGCGAGTGTCGTCATAGTTATGCTTTTTGTGCCCGGCTTCGTCTTGTCCAGTCTGATGTCTCGGCTTGCCCACTATTCGGAATCCTTGTTGCCTTCCAGTCTGACGACCTTTAGTCATGAGGCTGCTTTTGCACTCATGTTTCTCGCTCATCATCTTTTTCCATGCACAGCCATTTAGGCATTTCTCCCGAGCTTGCATACCAAGTCCTATGCTACCACACCGTTTGCATCTATGACCACAGCGGGATTGGTCTTAGGAGGAAATATCGGAGGAGAGAGGTCAACTAGCTTTTATTTTCAGTAACGGTTGTGTTTCGTAGCTTGCAGGAACCTGATTGTTAACTAATCTTACCGGTTTCCTCTTCCTTCAAAGCAATGGAGAGAAGGCTTAAATTTTTCATTTGCTGATTTGCATGTGGTTTCTTGCTGCATAACCCCACACAAGATCGTATACATTTAAAAGGCTTTTTTTTATTTGTCTTTTACCACAGTATGGCTAAGGTAGAGTTGCTTGCCTCTCAGCCAGAGCTACCATAGTTTGAATCCCGTTGAGGTGGTGATGACGACAAGACGAATGTGCTGTCCGGTCAACTGAAATTTCATGAGAAAAACCAGCATTCTTGAGCAGACTCACTATCTGTACAAAGCAAACATTGGTTGATACCAGTGAAAGTGGCTTCCCTTTCATTTATCAAGAGTTCTTGTATATTACCCTGGCAACAATAGTCGTGCTTATGTGTAGGTACTGGCATGTACATTGCTTAAAAAATCATAAAGATGTCTCCTTTGAATGACAAGCT